TGTTTTTGGGTAGAAAGGAGACGGAATGGGAAAGAAACGGGTTGGCATTTTTTTCCTTTTCTCTAGGATTTTGGGTTCTATCTAGCTGTGTTGAGGGCTTACTCCGGCTCTAAGCTCTGGAATCACTTCTGGAAATGTTCAGGGGACATATGGGGTGCTGGGGATAGAACCAGGGTTTGTCACGTGCAAGGCATAGTACCCTACCTGCTGTACTATCTCTGTGGCCTCTGAGATTTTTCAGAGTTGTTGTAACAGAGAGCTGGGAGTCTGAAGTGGTCTGACAGGTACAAATCCAGGCTGTGTGGGCCTCTTTACTTCCCAGAACCTCCATGCACCCTGATGAGGGCTGCTTCCATCACATGAAAAAAATATTTGAAAATCTTGTGATATTTTAAAACTGTTCAGGGAGGGACCAGCGAGATAGTACAGAGGGTAGGACGTTTGCTCTGCATTCGGCCACCCGGTTCTATCCCCGGAGCCTTGCCACGTGTGTTCCTAAAACAAACAAAAACTGTTCAGGTGACCAGAGAGGTAGTACAGCTGGTAGTTGCCTGGCTGACCTGGATTCTATCTCTGACACCCCGTATGGTTGCCTTATCACCACCAGGGGGCACTCCTGAGCACAGAGCCAGGACTAGGGTGTGGTCCAAATATCCCTTTTCCCCCTGCTTAGCCATGGGTAGCCATGGTTATCAGCACTAATACATCAGAACCAATGCTCCTTGCTAGATTTGCACCTCTGCGGGTGTCAGGGACGGTGTCCGGCTGCTGGTCCTTCCTGGTCCCCTGAGCTGCTGGCCTGAGGCACGGCCACGCTGTTTCCTGGTTCCCACAACCCTGCATCTGTTTGTCAACAATGCCCTGCCCTGGGCCAGAGCCATAGACCAGCTGGGAGGGCACTTGCCTTGCACACACCCAACCCAGGTTTGATTTCCGGCATCCTCTATGGTCCCCTGAGCACCCTCAGCAGTGATCCCTGAGTACAGAGCCATGAGTGTCACCTGAATAGCCAAAAAAAAAAAAAAAAAAAGACCCATAAAACAAAACAGTGGCCAGTGGCGTGACCTGCCTCTGAGTGAGTTTCAGGAACTGTTCAGGGTTTCTTAAGTGGTATCCAGCCTGGTCTTCTTTCCATGGACCCGACCAGGGGGTCTTGTAGAATCCCCAGGTGGGAGGCCCAGAGGACTCTATTTCTGCTTTCTTCCCTGGTCCACAAGTCTTTGGGATTTGGGCCCACGGGCTTTGTGGGAGCCCTTGTGGGTATGGGGGACAGCATTCCAAGGAGATGGGGGAATAGCCCCTGCTGAAGGAGCTGGGGCTCAGGAAGGCCTCCTATTAGCAGGAGTGAGGGTGCGAATCCCAAAGTGGAGAAGAAACTGACTTTGAACCTCAGATGGGCATATTTCTATTTCCCCATGTTAGCTTTTTTTCTCCCCCCCCCCTTTTTTTTTTTTGGCTTTTTGGGTCACACCCTGAGATGCACAGGAGTTACTCCTGGCTCTTCTTTCAGGAATTACTCCTGGTGGTGCTCGGGGGACCATATGCAATGCTCGGAATCGAGCCCGGGTCGGCTGTGTGCAAGACAAATGCCCTACCCGCTGTGCTATCGCTCCAGCCCCTCTTTTTTTCATTTTTATTTGATGTTTTTGTTTCTGTTTTTGAAGCTACACCTAGGTTCTGTGCTTAGGGTTTACTCCTGGCTCTGTGCTTAGAGATCACTCCTGGCAGTGCTTGGGGGATGCTATGGGGTGCTGAGGATTGAACCCAGGTTAGCTACATGCAATGCAAGTGCCTTCCCCGCTGTCCTACCTCTCTGGCTGATCAGCTTTTTCTCTAGTCCCGTCCCACATCCCAGCTTGGGTTCCGGAAGTCTAAGGAACTCCATGGATGCATAGTTAGTTTTCAGCCTTGGTGGGGAGCAGAGTGAGAGTTCACAGTGATGAGGCCGCCTCCAACGTAACCAACAGGAAAACTCACCAGAGGAAGGGCCAAGTATCATCGTTTTTGATTTTGTTTTTGTTTTTTTGCTTTTTGGGTCACATTCAGTGATGCTCAGGAGTTACTCTTGGCTCTGCACTCAGGAATTACCCCTAGCAGTGCTCAGGAGACCATATGGGATGCTGGGAATCGAACCCAGGTTGAATGCATGCAAGGCAAAAGCCCTACCTGCTGTACTATTGTTCCAGCCTCTAGAGCTGAGCATCAACAGCAGAAGTTCTGCTGCCTCCTTCCACAGCCAAGTGTGGGAAATGTGACTTGTGTTCTGAGCACGCTGGGGTTTTCTTGTAGAAACTCAAAGGGACAGTACTCCATAATCCACCCCTTACCAGCACTTGTTCTGAGCAAGGAGGAGGTGGGACATAAGCCTGGGGGTGCTAATTAGTTTAGACAGATTACAAGGGTGTGTCAGAGGCAAGGTCACTGCAATGTGGGGTCCTCTGGTGGTTATGGTGGGGCGGGGACTGAAAATCAGAGGGTTCGGGTAGAGCGTTTGCCTTAATTTGGGGGACACTGCTGGAGTGATAGCACAGTGGCAGGGTGTTTGCCTTGCGCGCAGCCAGCCTGGCCGAGCCAGGTTTGATTCCTCTGCCCCTCTCGGACAGCCTGGCAAGCTACCGAAAGTATTCAGTATGCCAAACACAGTAACAAGAAGTCTCATAATGGAGATGTTACTGGGCCTGCTCGATATTTTATAGTGAAACTAAATGCCAAAACTAAATCTTCCGTCACTAGGACTCCATTCCTGGACAGGTGCCCCAGGGAGATACATCCACGAGCTGAAGTAGAATATTCCTATTCCTAGAGGCACCCATTTCATAGCCCTCCCCCCCCCCCCCCAGAGCTGAGGTCAACCTGTGCACTACATAGAGCCAAGTGGTGGAATACTATACAGAGATGAAAAATAGCAGCAACAAAGGACTGGAGAGATAGTACAGGGTTGCTTGCCTTGTATGTGGCCAACCTGGGTTTGATCCTCAGCATCCCATTGGTCCTCCAAGCACTGCCAGGAGTCATTCCTGAATGCCAAGTCAAGAGTAGCCCCCTAACATCACCAAGTATGGCTCCAAAACATTAAAAAAAGAAAAGGGGCTGGAGTGATAGTACAGCAGGTAGGGTGTTTGCTTTGCACATGGCCAACCTGGGTTCAATTTCCAGCATCCCATATGGTCCCCCAAGCACTGCCAGAAGTAACTCCTGAGTGCAAATCCAGGAGTAACCCCTGTGCATCTCTGGGTGTGACCCGCCCCAAAAAAATCACCAGAAAGCAGTGACCAGTCCATGTGATGTGAATGTCCACAGATGTGGTGTTAACCCCCAGGAGGCTAGGCAAATGAGACATTAGGCTACAAGATTTTATGTTGTTCTTTTCTTTTTGGGTCACATCTTGCAATGCACAGGGGTTACTCCTGGCTCATGCACTCAGGAATCACTACTGGCGGTACCCAGGGGACCATATGGGAAGCTGGGAATCGGACCTGGAATGACCACAGGCAAGGTAAAAGTCCTACCCACTGTGCTATCACTCCAGTCCAAGGTTTTATATTTTGATATTTTTGTTAGTTGTTTGGAGGGGGGCATACTCAGAGATGTTCAGAGATTACTTTGGCTCTGTGCTCAGGGATCATTTCTGGTGGTGCCCAGGGGACCAAATGTGGTTTTGGGGATTAAACCAGGGTTAACTGTGTGCAAGGCAAGTGTCCCACCCACTGTACTATCCCTCTGGTTCAGCAGCAAGACTTTGTAATGGAAGGCTAGAACAGGTCATCGGTGGTTTGCCTCTGGAGGGTGACTGGAGAGGGCCAAGAAGGAACTTTCTGGGTGTTTTGTCTAGCCACTGAGAGCACCTCTCAGAGCTCTGCACTCTACCAGGTGAAAGTGTGTATCAATAAAGAACTACATAGTGATTCAAAGATTGAACATCCAAATCTCAGGTTGCTGCCTCAGGGGTGTGAGCCAGACCAGGTCACTTTCCCTCTCTGTGCCTTGCCAGGACTAAGCAGAGTGTTTAGGAGAGGGTGAGCACATGGTGGCCACTCTGGGAGTGCTGTCCTCTTCCTCCCCCAACCCTTGTGTCCCCAGAATCCCTTTCTAGCGCAGGAGCATTTCAAGAGTTGCTTCTCCCCCTCTCCTCTTGTCTAATAAAACCAGCGCCTGGTGAGACCCAGCCACTCTCAATCTTTGATTGACCTAAAATTCCATGATTGGGGGCTGGAGTGATAGGACAGTGGGGAGGGCACTTGCCCTGCATGTGGCTGGCTCAGTTCCATCCCTGACATTCCATATGGTCTCCTGAGCACCACCAGAAGTGATTCCTGAATGCAGAGCCAGGAGTAACCCCAGGCACCATGCATCATAGTGGGGCCCAAAAGCAAAAAAAAAGAAAAAAATTCATAATTGGGTGATGGAGAGATAGTACAGGGGTTAAGGTGCTTGCTTGCCTTGCAGGTAGTCCAACCTGGTTTAATCCCTGGTACCACATATGATCTCCTGAGCACCACCAGAACCCCTAAGTACAGAGTCCCTGAGCACCACTGAGTGTGGCCCCCAAGCCCCCAAATTTCCATGATGGGAGAGATTGTTCAGTGTGCTGTGTAAGTAGGCTTTGCATGTGGGAGGCCCAGTTCTGATTCCTGACACTACAGAGTCCTCTGAGCATCACCAAGAGCCAATCCCAGGCCCCTGGCCAGGATTAGCTCCTGAGCACTGCCCACTGGGGCCCCGAAACAAAACCAAAAAATCTTCCAAAATTCAGGGTGCTGGCTCAATGGCGCAGACTCTGCACCCCTCGAGACCCGAGACCCAGCTTTGACTCCCTGGCACTGCAAACAAAACAAAAGGCCGTGAGTCAAGGACTCCCCGATTCTGCGATTCTGCGGCTCCCAAGCTCTTGCCAGGCTCCATTTCTGGGGGAGCATGAGTCACCCCGCGCAGGGCACGCTGTCCTGCCCACACGCCCACCCCCACCCCCAGGACCAGAAAGCAAGCGTGACACACACGGCTTCTCTCTCCCACTGATATATTTGATAATTGTCCAGAACCAGAGACGGCGTCAGCCGGGGTGAAGGGGAGTATAAAAGAGCCCAGGGAGGCGGCTGGGAGTGGGTGAGCAGGTGAGAACAGACACAGAAAAGAGAAAGGAGAGAGGCGGGGCCAGGGCCAGGGCCGGGCGGGGCCAGGGGCGGGGCCTGGACCAGGGGCGGGGCTGGGGCGGGGCGAGAAGCCAGCCAGAGGGTGGGGGGGAGGCGAGAGGCAGGAGATACCTGGAGGGAGTGGGGGCTGAGGCGGAACCACAGGGAGAGAGGGCCCCTCCCCCCAGAATACAAAATGCGGGGGACTGGAGGGGGCTGTCCTGGGCATGGGGGCGGGGAAGAGACGGCCATGTGGCGGGGCTGAGGTCAGTAGTAGGTTTCTTTCTCCACCCAACCTGTAGAGAGACAGAAAAGGGAAGACACACACACACAAGTGGACACAGGTGGAGAGAGACACACGGGCACGAAGTGAAGGGGACAGAGGGACACGGACACAGGGAAGAGGCAGAGACACAAGGACAGAGCCACGGGGACAGACACAGAAAGAGAGCCACGGAGACAGAGACACAGGGATAGAGACACCAGGACAGAGACACACAGGACACAGCCACAGGGAGAGAGACACAGGGACAGAGAGACAGAGACACAGGGATAGACACAGGGACAGAGACACAGACACAGAGACACGGAGACAGAGACACAGAGCCAGAGACACAGGTACAGAGATATGGGGACAGAGACACAGGGACAGAGCCACGGAGACAGAGCCACGGGGACAGAGACACAGGGAAGGGGGCAGAGAGTATAGTCAGCACCCTAGAAGTCACCCCCAGAGCTTGTCCCGGCCATCCCGGCCCCGGCTGTCCCCCTGCGGCCCCCCAGCCTGCTCCCTCACCCCCGGGGTTCCTGCGCAGAATGAGCTTGCGGATTTCGTCGTAGACGAAGATGAGGAAACTGTAGGGGAAGGCACAGAACCACCAGCTGGGCCTGTGGGGGCAGAGAGGGCAGGCGTCAGAGTGGGATGGGCATGGACGGCCAGTGCCCACTGGGGAGAGCCCTCTCACTCCCCTGCAGGCTATGGGGACCTGCAAGAGGGAGGGATCCAGAGAGGCCTGGAAGGGTGAGGTGCTGCGGTCAGCGAGGAGCACTCACTTGAGCGGGTACATGCGGAGGGCCACGTCCATGCCGGGGCAGTAGGACAGGAAAGCGGCCAGGGCTGTCTCCTCGAACAGGCCGAAGATCAGGATCTTGTTCCTGGAGGCACAGGTAGGGGTGCGGTGGGTGCAGAGAATCTGACTCCCGCGTTCCCATCCTGCTCACCACCCACCTAGAGACCCACCCAGAGCTGGACAGGCTGAGACACGGGGGACAGGGGGGCGACAGCGGCGGAGAGGCAGGGGAAGACCCAGCAAGATGGAGACAGGAAGCCTGGAAGGGAGGGGCCCCAGAACCCGTCCCTCGTCCCTCCCCACCCCCCACACCGGGAGAGTCAGAGAGTCTAGGACAAACACGACCACTGAGAGGCAAAACCAGAGCCGGACGGGAGAGATACAGACAGACACAGGGATGGGACAGACAGACCCAGCCCCGCTGCACTCACTTCATGCCCTGCTGGAAGACCGAGTTCCTCCGGGTCTTGCAGATGATCAGGTCAGCCCACTGGACCACCACGATACTCACGAAGAAGGCTGTGTGGCAGGTGAACTCCACCACTTTCCTCTGCTCATAGGTCTGTGGCAACAGAGGATGGGGGCTCAGTGGGACCATGGCCCCGCCCTAACACCTTCCCCAATCAGCTCAGGCCACGCCCCTCAGATGACCAGCCATCAGGGTCTGTCCGGCCACGCCCAGACCACGCCCATCCCACCCTGGACTCGGCACACTCCGCATGGCTTGGGCTTTAGGGCAGGTAGGGCACAGCGCCAGGGGGCTTCCAGGATCTCTAGCAGAGTCGGGAGATATAATGGGGCAGAGAGAGGTTAACTCGGTTCTGTACAAGGGCCCCACCAGAGGCCTCCAGAGTGGTCTGACGTCAGAGTGCTGGGACTGAGACCACGCCCAGGATGGGAAGGGCTGAGGGGTCTTGATGCAACCCCGGGCAGAGGGGCCTTGGCCATAAGGGGTGTGCGTGATATCTCCCAGCATCCTCTGTACTGAGCTGGGGAGTGGGGGTGGGGCGTGCCCACTCACCCACTGCTGTCCATAACTGTCCTCCAGGTCATTGATGGTGCGGTCGTCCCAGTTCAGCCGAATACCCACCAGGTTGCTAGGCAGGAAGCCATTTTCCGCCAGGATGACAAAGTAGGAGAAAAAGCCTCCGAGGGCCTGAATCATTCCTATAGGAGAAGGGAGGTGAGGACAGGCTCTGCAGGGGCTGGCGGGCCACCTGAGTCCTCCAGTGTGAGCATCACTGTGCTTCCCGAGGTCACCGGAAGTGCCACTTGGCAGTGGGCGCCCCAAATGGGTGTCCTGCAGCAGGTATCTCAGGGGGCTCTCCCGAGATGGAGAACCTGGATATCCCTGGCCACCTGTCTCTCAGGAACTCCCTGATGATCCCCGAGCTTGAGCTGAACAGTTCCCCACTACAGGAATGACTTCCCAGGGGCTCTGTCCCCACAACAGAAACCCTGGTGAGATGGCTGGGGTGCCCCCAGGGCTGGGAGCTCAGTGCCTGGAGGGGTCTGCATATTCCCACTCAAACAGGAGGTTGAGAACAGGGAGGAGAGTCACTCATGCCCTGAGAGAATTTAAAGGCTGTGTGTGTATGTGTTGGGGGCACCTGGCCCCATGTAGTGCCAGCCTCCTGTGTGCTAGGCCTGCACTGCGGCTGCCTGAGCTACTGAGCCCCCTCCGGCCTTCATAGGCTGCTTTTCTTTCTTTCTGGGTCACACCCAGCAATGCACAGGGGTTAGTCCTGGCTCATGCACTCAGGAATTACTCCTGATGGTGCTTGGGGGACCATATGGGATGCTGGGAATTGAACCTGGGTTGGTTGTGTGCAAGGCAAACGCTCTACCTGCTGTGCTATCACTCCAGCCCCCATAGGCTGCTCTTGAACTTCCCATCCTGCAGTGCATTGGAGGACCCCCATGTGGGTGCTGCCTTTCAGCCACCTGCTCCCTGGGTGCACCTCACTTGTGCTGCACCCCCCCTTGGTGCCTCCTCCCCTCTACGAGCACCGAGCCCTACTCGGGGTCTGTCCAATGGACTCAGGGCCCCCGAGCGCCCACGGTGTCCCCATCCCAGGGTTCTCACCGATCTGCCCATAGGCCATGCTGATGAGCCTCTCATTCACCAGTTTGTCAGTGCGTGGGTTCCTGGGCTGTCTCTTCATGATGTCGCTCTCAGCAGCCTCGTAGGCCAGGGAGATGGCAGGGACCTGCCCGGGAGTGAGCTGGTGAGCAGGGGAGAGGTCGCCCAGGGGCTCACCCGGGACCATGGCCAGGACTCACCATGTCAGTGCCCAGGTCGATGCAGAGGATGGTGATGGTGCCCAGGGGCAGAGGGATGTTGGCCATGATGAACAGCAGGAAGGGCGTGATCTCGGGGATGTTGCTGGTCAGGGTGTAAGCGATGGACTTCTTGAGGTTGTCGAAGATCAGGCGGCCTGTGGTAGGAACATCCTGAGACCCAGGCATCGCGGCCCTCTGCTCGCTCTCTTGTCTCACCCACTGAATCCTCATCTACCTGCCTTCCTTTCCTTTTTTGGTTTTTGGACCACACCCAGCGTTGCTCAGGGATTACTCCTGGCTCTGCACTCAGGAATTATTCCTGGAGGTGCTATGGGGACCCTATGGGGTGCCGGCAAGCTCCCTACATGCTTTGCTATGTCTCTGGCACCTACCTGTCTTTCTGTATAAACTTTTGCCCATGCCCCCCATTCGAATATTCTTGAAACACAATAATTTTTTTTTTGCTTTTTGGATCATACCTGGCAATGCCACTCCTGGCTCGTCCACTCAGGAATCACCCCTGGCAGTGCTTGGGGGACCATATGGGATGCTGGGAATTGAACCAGGATCGGCCGCATGCAAGGCCACCTATCCCTATCCACTGTGCTACCACTCCAGACCCGAAACACAACACTTTGAAGACTGTGTGGCGGTTTCTATTAAACCTCCCTCTACCAGGGCCAGAGCGATAGTACGGGTAGAGCATTTGCCTTGCATCACCAGCATCCCATATGGCCCCCGAAGCACCACCAGGAGCAATTCCTGAGTGCAGAGCCAGGAGTAACCCCTGAGCATTGCAGGGTGTGACCCAAAAAGACAAAAAATACAAAAAAAAAAAAAACCCACCTCACCTCCCTCTACCTTACCCCTGACCATCTGTTAACTTTTTTTAAAATTCTGGGGCACACCTAGTAACGCTCAAGGGTTACTGTGTACTAAGGAGTACTCCTGGTGGGCTCAGAGGACTACATGAGATGCCGAGGATCAAATCCAGGTGGGCTATATGCCAGGAAACTGTCTTCCCCGTTTACTACTTCTCTGGCCTCTCCCTGACTTTGTTGAGTCAGTGATCTCACCCCTAGGTTTATACCCAAGAGAAATTAATGCTTGGGGTTGGAGCAGGGAAGGTACTTGCTCTGCACGCAGTCAACCCTGGTTCAAGTCCCAGCATCCCATATGGTCCCCAAAGCCCACCAGGAGTGATTCCTGAGTGCAGACGCAGGAGTAACCCCTGAGCACTGCCAGGTGTGGGGCCAAAACAAAAACAAAACATTAAAAAAAAGAGAGAGAGAGAAATGAATGCTTATACCCACCAATAAGTACAAGAATCTTCCCCACAACCTTAGTCAAAGAGCCCCAAGCCAGTATGGACCCTGTATCCATCCACATGTCAGGTGGATACATAAACTATGAAATTCTTTGTGACAAGGCTACTCCCACACCTGGCTCTGTGAAGCCCACCACTATGAGGAGGAGCAGGAAAAGGCAAACCCAATGCCTGCATCTTAGAGCTGGGGGGAGGGGGGGAGTGGAGAACAGGGGCTAAAGTGCTCGCCTTGCTTCCCACTGACCCCAGTTAAAATCCTGGCACCACTTATGCTCCCCTGGGCACTGTTAGGGGTCACTTAGGAGAGCTGCTAGGAATAGCCCCTGAGCACCACAGGGTGTCACTGCAAAAAAAAAAAGCATGTATTTTGCCTGATTCCATTAATTTTATTTATTTTTTTGGGGGGGTCACACCAGCAATGCTCAGAGGTTACTTCTGGCTCTGCCCTCAGGAATTACTCCTGGTGGTACTCGAGGGACTCTACGGGATTCTGGGGTTTGGACTCAGGTTGATCACATGCAAGGCAAACACACTCCCTGCCAGATTATCGCTCAGACCCAGTCTGAATCCATTTAAGTAGGGTTCAGGACTCAAGGGCAGAATGGTGGTTATCTCAGTGGAGGGAGTCAGATGGGGAAGGGACCTGACCAAACCCCAGTGGGGCTACTCATGCTCTCGAGCTTCTCTGGGGTCTGGTGTTTGCATGTTTGTGTATGGTTCAGGCCCAGAGAGAGAGAGTCCAAGGTAAGCGGCCATGTAAAAGAGTCTTTATTAGTGGCCGACCCTGGTTTAATTCCCAGATTTAATTCATACTGTGTATGTAAAGTGAAAGGGACCTAAAGATGAACCCTGCACCCCTCCTCCACCTGTCCTCACTGCTGAAAAGCAACAGGACACATGATGAAAAGGGCATGGAAGGGGCCAGGGAGACGGCTCAGGCTCAAAGGGTTGGCGTGTATGCTTTGTGGGCGCACGATCTGGGTTTGATCCCCAGCACTGTATAGCGCCCCAAGCATCACCAGGAATATACGCCAGCCCCCTCTGCCCTTCCCCCCAAAGAAAGACAGAGTATATGACAGTAGGACTTGTCCTATATTAGGATAGTAGGCTTCATCACAGTAAAGTATAGGGCTGGGGCAGAGGCTTTGCAGGCAGGAGCCGGGTCGGAGCCCCAGGACTGCCAGGAGCAACCCACGAGCATGGAACTAGAAGCAGCCCCCAGGCACCACCAGGTATGGTCCCCAAACCCCAAAATAAAATGAAGTGAAATAAGATGCCCAGCTGATCACACCAATAATTTTATATCCCTATAAGGCACTATCTTCACAAAACTAACTGTGTCTCATCCTGAAGTATTTATGGGGAAATAAATGCTGACTCAAATGTGCCTCTACATGGACCTGTGTGTGTGTGTGTGTGTGTGGGAGGGGGGGGGGGAGGCAGTCAAGGGAAATCAAACATGCTTAGCATGGCCTTCTCATTCTCTCGACTGGGGGATGGCATATGGGGGTTCACTCAGGCTATTCTGCACGCTTCCCTAATGCGTGTTGTTTTTCTTCCCAGAGAGACCTTCCCTGTCCACCCAGACCAGGTAGGACCCTGGTCATAATCATAGTTGCCCACTGCTTCCCTCTTAGAAACAATGTGTAAACTTATTTGCTGCTGAACTTGTTTTCAATTTGCTTGTTTTTGTTTTGGGGCCACACCCAGCGATGCTCCAGGGTTCATATGGGAATTGAACCCAGGTCCTCCTTGTGCAAGGCAAGTGCCCTCCCTGCTGTATTATCTTTCTGGTTCCAGTTGTTGAATTTTTTTTCTTTTGCATCACACCTGGTGATGCACAGGGATTACTCTTGGCTTTGCACTCAGGAATTACTCCTGGCGGTGCTCGGGGGACCATATGGGATGCTGGGGATCGAACCTGGGTTGGCCGCATGCAAGGCAAACGCCCTACCAGCTGTGCTATCTCTCCAGCCCCAGTTGTGGAATGTTTGGCCTCCTAGCACCGTGCACGATGCCCTCCCTGTGCGAGGTGTGCCAGCCCGGTGTGACAGTGTGTGCCAGTGAGAGTGGGCATGGCATGTGCACAGAGAGCGCGTCTGCTGAAGGAAGAGTTAACCACAGCTTTCCCCCGGGATGAGGCGACGAGGGATCCAGGCATTTAATTTGCTGTTTGAATTCTCTCTTATCATCAATTGTTTTATCCACCAGGGACATTTCAAATGGGCGAGAGACGCTGAAGAAAGCAGCATCACAGCATGAACTGTGGTTATTTCTGGATGCTGAGGTTACGGGTGATGCCAATTTTCTTCTTAATGCTTCTCTACATGTTCTATAATTATCGTGAGTTGCTTTAATGACCAGAATAAAATTAAGTGGGAGCAAGCGCCATCTGTGACCCTGGGAAGGTCTGTCGGGAGGCGGTACTGGGGGTTCTGTGGCTTGGGAGCCCTCCTGTTCCCTTCCATACTGCTGGGACCCCTGTCTTCAGCTCCTTTACACACTTTCCTCTGAGCAGTTCTAGCCTGGCCCTGAGAGGGCCTGATCCCTACAGGTGCTGGAAGCTTCCTAGGCCCCAGGCCCCAGCTGGGGGAGGGAGCCTCATCAGGGTTCCTTCAGGACATCCTGCTTCCCCACGGTTGGACTATTTTATTTTATTAATATTCTTTTTATGTGATGGGCCACACCCAACTGTGCTTAGGACTTACTCCTGGCAGGGCTTAGGGGATCTTCTGCAGTGCTAGGGATGGTCCCTGGGCTGGCTGCATGCAAGGCCAGCTCCTTCCCTGCTGTCCTACCTCTCTGCCCCCCTCTTTTTTTTTTTTTGCTTTTTGGGTCACACCCAGCGATGCACAGGGGTTACTCCTAGCTCTGCACTCAGAAATTACTCCTGGAGGTGCTCGGGGGACCATATGGGATGCTGGGAATCAAAGCCAGGTCAGCCGCGTGCAAGGCAAACACCCTACCTGCTGTGCTATCACTCCAGCCCCTCTCTGGCCCTTTTTAATATTTTATTTTCCATTTTTTGGGGAATCTTCCCACGCTCAGGAAGCCCCGGGAGCCCGCTGCGCTGTTGTTTAATGCAGAGGTCTGAGGATGTGGTATTGCTTGTGCCCTGAGATGCCAGGACTCCCTGGGTCACCCCAACAATGAAGGGGGACTATTGGTGTGAGGATCCATACCCAGGTTGGGCATATGCACTTCTCAGCCCCTATTTTATTTCATTTATTTTGGTGGGGGGGGCAGCTGTGCTCAGGGCTTACTCCTGACTGCATTCAGAGCTCACTCACTCCTGGTAGACTCAAGTGATCGTATGGGATGCTGGGGATGGAATTTGGGTCATCTGCTGCAAAGTGAGTGCCTCATCCTTGAATTTTCTCTCTAGGCAATATGAGTCCTTTTTTTTTTCTTTTGATTTTTGGGCCACCATTTTGGACTTACTCCCGGCTCTGTGCTCAGGGATCACCCCTGGTGGGGCTTTGGGGACCATATGGGACACCAGGGAATCAAACTTGGGTTGGCAGTGTGCAGGCAAACACCCTACCCTCTGTACTATCACTCCAGCCCCAGTATTTTAGCCCCTATTTTATTTTATTTTTTGCTTTTTGGGCCATACCTGGCAATGCACAGGGATTACTCCTGGCTTTGTACTCAGGAATTACCCCTGGCAGTGCTCAGGGGACCATATGAGATGCTGGGAATCGAAGCTGGGTCAGCCGCATGCAAGGCAAATGCCCTACTCGCTGTACTATCACTCAAGCCTCCAGCCCCTGTACCTCTTTAAAATAATATTTTAAAATATTCAAAATGCTTTCAATCTAAGTCTCCCCTACCAGGCTAAGCCTGTGCTGGGTAACAGTGGACCCAGAAATGGGTCAACTCAGTCTTGCCCTGCCTCGAAGGCTCTCCGCACTCCAGAGTGTCCACCCCAGGGAAGGGATCAGTGGCTGAAGTCCTGGCCCGTTTCCCCCATCCCATGCTTTTCCTGGATGTCAGATTTGGGAGCCCCCACCAATAGGGCCACCAACTCACCTTCCTCCACCCCGGTGACTATGGAGGCGAAGTTATCATCAAGCAGAATCATGTCGGCCGCCTGCTTGGACACGTCAGAGCCGGCGATGCCCATGGCCACGCCAATGTCGGCCTTCTTGAGGGCAGGGGAGTCATTCACACCATCTCCTGTCACAGCCACGATGGCTCCCTGGAGGAAAAGCGGGTAAGGAGGAAGCCCGAGTCACTGGTGCCCCCCGCAGCGCCAGGCACCCCTCCCAGGACCTTGCTCCAGGGCTCCCCGGAGAGGTGCCCCACCTGTCTCTGACAGCCCTCCACGATGATGAGCTTCTGCTGGGGTGAGGTGCGGGCAAAGACAATCTCTGTGTGGTTCTGCAGGATCTCGTCAATCTGCTCCGAGGTGAAGTCCTTGAGATCAGTGCCGTGGATCACACAGGCCTTGGCGTCCCTGGAAAAGCGGAGCATGGTCAGGGCAGGTGGGGCGGCGGCTGGCCAGATACACAGACAGGAGATAAAGAGCTCCTCAGAAGGGGCGGCCACAGGGGAACGTGTGTGTGTGTGTGTGTGTGTGTGTGTGTGTGAGAGAGAGAGAGAGAGAGAGAGAGAGAGAGAGAGAGAGAGAGAGAGAGATCCTGGGACAGTAGGCTGGCGGGGACAATCCAGAAAGGGTCACGGACTTGGAGGGGTTTGGAGGCAGGAGAGAGGGATGAATAAAATCAAGCAGAGGGGGAGGAGGTACCCTTTGATCCCCCCATCTAGGAATTACCAGGTCATTTGATTTAGCTTTTCTTTTCCAGTTTGATTTTGGGGCCACATTCAGCAGTGCTCAGGGCTTACTCCTGGCTCTGCACTCAGGGATCACTCCTGACAAGGCTGGGAGGACCCTATGGGATGCTGGGGATCAAATCGGGGTCATCTGCCTGCAAGGCAAGTGCCCTCCCAGCTGTACTATCACTCCGGCCCGTAGATTTTATTTATTTGTGTGGGGTGAGTCAGTTTGGGTCACACCTGGTGGTGCTCAGGGGCTACGCCTGGCTCTGTGCTTGGGAACCATATGCGGTACCAGGAATTGAACTAGGTCAGCTTCATGCAAGATAAGTGCCTGAACTTTCTTTGTCCAGCAGGTGGTTTTAGAGAGAGGGATGTGGAAGGGAGGCCGTGAGAGGGGGACTGAGTGCAAGCCTCCACCTTGAGCCCACCTGGTTGCCGCATAGTGGCTCATGCACCCCTTTGGAGAGCAACAGGACACAGGACCCATCCACAGGGAGGTCCCCTGAGGACCTCAGGCCCCTCCCAAGCAGGGGGCTCACCGGGGGTTGACCTGGCTGACGGGAATGTTGAGCCTGGCTGCGATGTCCTCCACCGTCTCGTTGCCCTCGGAGATGATACCCACACCCTTGGCGATGGCCTTGGCCGTGATGGGGTGATCGCCAGTGACCATGATGACCTGCCAGCATGGTGGTTGGTTGGTCCAGCCTCCCGGGCTGTTCCCCAGGCCCCGACCCTGCCTCCCCACCATGGCCCCGGGGCCTCACCTTGATGCCTGCACTTCGGCACTTGCCCACGGCATCGGGGACAGCTGCCCTGGGTGGGTCGATCATGGACATGAGACCCACAAAGCAGAGGTTGTCAGTGGTGAAGTTCACGTCATCGCAGTCGAAGGCAAAACCCTTAGGGAACTGCTCCTCGGGCAGGTAGTAATGACAGAAACCTGGTGGCCAGGCGGGATTGGGGTGTCAGGATTCAAGCTTCCCCTCACCCTCCTGCACCCCCAGTCTCCCCTGCCTGCAGGTCTAGTGGCCAGTCTCCCCAGGGGGTCTGCTGGTCAGTCAACACGCAGATCCCAAAGCTGCATCCTCTCTTACCCATGTATTGATTCGCTCATGTGTCACCCATTCCCTCATCTGGTCCCTCCCTCATGCATTCATTCATTCCCTCATGCATTCATTCATTCCCTCATGTATTCCCTCACTTACTCATCCATCCACTCACACACTCAATTCATTTGTTTAGGGACATACCCTCCTGCCCCTGGCCCCAGGAAATGACCCTTCCCTTGCTCCCCGGGAGCTGGTCCAGCCTCAGCCGCAGCCAGACCCTCCCCAGTGCACACCTAGCACTCGCTCGCCCAGGCCGCCGAGCTCCAGGTACGCGTTCTGGAACGCCTCCTTCATCTCCTCATCCAGTGGCTGCTCCTTGCCCTGCAGCAGGATGGTGGCGCAGCGGTCCAGGATGCGCTCAGGGGCGCCCTTCATCACCAGCAGGTAGCGGTTGTCGTTGGGGTCCTCGGTCTCGTGGATGGAGAGCTGCAGGCAGAGCAGAGGCAGCCTGCACCCACCGCGGGATGGGGTGACCCCTACACCCCCGCAGAGCCATGGGGGCCACAACAGAACAGCACTGGCTTCCCCAAGGGTACTGCCCAAGTATTTTGATTTTTTGTTCGGGGCCCACACCCGGCAATGCTCAGGGGTGACTCCTGGCTCTGCACTCAGGAATTACTTCTCTCAGTGCTCAGGGGACCATATGGGATTCTGGGGATTGAACCCAGGTTCAGCCATGTGCAAGGCAAATGCTCTACCTGCTCTGACCCCTGCCCAAACATTTTTTTGAGGGAGGAGGTCCCAGATCTGGTGGTGCTTGAAGGGTCCTGTAGGCTCAAACTGGGGGCTCCATCCTTTTGGCCCATTCCCCAGCTCCTCACTCATGCAAGGCAAATGCTCTCAATGTGAGCCCCGTCCCGGCCCAGAGCCCGTAGCTCTATCCCAGGGATCATTCTCTGTTTCTCTCTACAAGTTTCTGAGCTCCTAGACATTTCTGGCTCTCTGTGTTCCAACATCTAAGGATTCCTCTCTCTCTCTCTCTCTGCTTTTTTTTTCCTTTTTTTTTTTTGCTTTTTTGATTTTTGGGTCACACCCGGTGATGCACAAGGGTTATTCCTGGCTTTGCACTCAGGAATTACTCCTGGCAGTGCTTGGGGGACCATGTGGGATGCTGGGAATCGAACCCAGGTCGGCCACGTGCAAAGCAAATGCCCTACCTGCTGTGCTATTGCTCCAGCCCCTCTCTCTGCTTTCTTGATATTCTATTATCCCACACTGGCTCATTGGAGCCTCTGCTCTGCTCACTTCCAAAATACACTTGATTCTGACACCTTCTCCCTTGCTCCTGCTGCTCTTCCACTCACCTGGACCATCGAGAGGACCTCCACATAAAGCCCCCATTGCCCTTCCCAGTTCACAGTGTCCCCTGTCTCCCTGCGACCTCCTAATATCAAAAGGATCTTTAAAAAAAAAAAGAAGTGAGGGGGCTGGAGAGATAGTAGAGTGGGTAAGATGCTTACAATGGGAGTAAGCCACAAGCATCGCTAGGTGTGGTCCAAAGTGCCCCCCCCCCAAAAAAATGTGAGTAACGGGGCCAAAGAGATGGTGTAGTGGTTAAGGCACTGCCTCATATGTGGCTGCAGTTGCCCTCATTTGATCCCCAGCATCCCATATGGTCCCTGAGCACTGCCAGGTGTGATACCTGATCGCACAGCCTGGAGTGATACCAAAACCAAATAAAACTAATAATAAAGTGAGTCTGTACAAAATAGTGTACCCTCATTGGAAATAGCCTGGCAACTGTCCCAGAGAAATAGCGGTAAGGGGAGCACCTTCCCCAGTGTAGGATCTCTCTGGCCCAGATTTTATATTTTGTTCTCATTTATATATATTATTTGTTTGTTTTTGGGTCACACCAGGGGTTACTCCTCATCCTGGGCCACGCTCACGGGTTACTCCTGGCTCTGCACTTAGGGATCACTCCTGGCAGTCCCCAAGGGACCCTGTGGGATGTCGGGGATTGAACCCAGGTTGGCCGTGTGCAAGGCAAGTGCCCTCCCCGCTGTACCATCGCTGCGGGCCCTGGTACCTGGTACTTGTTGGTGGAGTTGAAGGGGATCTCGGCCACTTTCTTGTTGCGTTCCCGCATCAGCTTCACGGAGCCGGAGGATAACTCGATGCACTTCAGCAGGGCAGACTCAGAGGCGTCACCAGCCACGTCCCTCTGGGGGAGGGACAAGCGGGGGCGTCAGAGAGCTACAGCGGAGGGCGGGCAGGGGCGGGGCAGGGAGTGGCTGCAGCCTACCTTGAGCACGGGAATGTTGTCCTGGCCGCCCTTGAAGACAGCGCGGTTGCAGAGCCCGGCGATGTGGGACAGCGCCACCCAGGTGTGTGAGCTCTTGTCGAACGAGGTCCCTGAGGGAGGTGGCTGTCAGCGCAGGGAGCAACCTGGGGGGGGGGGGGGGAGGGGCGGGACCCCAGAGGCCTCCAGGGCCCTTCCAGGGTACACCCTACCCATTGTCCCTCACCTGACTGGTCCTCTGTGGTATCCGCTTCGTGGATCTGATTGTCAAACCACATATGGGCGACGGTCATGCGGTTCTGGGTGAGGGTGCCAGTCTTGTCGGAGCAGATGGTAGATGTGGATCCCAGGGTCTCCACAGCCTCCAGGTTCTTCACCAGACAGTTTTTGCGTGCCATGCGCTTGGCAGTCAGCGTCAGACACACCTGGAGAGGGACAGGGGGAGGTCACCCAAATGCCCCACTCAGCAAAGCCAGCACTGCCTGACACACCACTGCAATGGGCTCACCCAACAGACAGCGGCCAAAATGTTCATGGAACCAGCATTTCACAAAGGCCCCAAACTGACCCCTTGTCCACTCACAGCAGCCTAGATACTTGGTGGAACTAAAGGTGGACAACAGGGCCAGGCAGAGGGACTCGGATGCCTGGAGCACTTGCCTGACTTCAGTCCCCGCCTCCAAGCACCACGGGGTGACTGCCCCCCTGCCCTGACACTGAATTGAGCTCCACCAAGTGTGGCCACCCAAAACAAACAAGCAAAGGATAAAGGAGTGAAAAGGAGAAATACAGGATGAACCTGAGAACTAAGGTCCAGGAGCTTCAGCTACAGGGATAAGTTTCTGGGACTGGAGTGATAGTATAGTGGGGAGGGCGTGTGCGTTGCATGCAGCTGACCCAGGTTCAATCCCTGGCATCCCATATGGTACCCCAAGCACTGCCAGGAGTAATTTATGAGTGCAGAGCCAGGAGTAATCCCTGAGCATTGCCGGGTGTGATCCTAAAACCAAACCAAACCAAGGAAAAACAGGGATAAATTTCTAACACACGGGGCTGGGAGAGAAATCATATGATTCATCCATGCAGATCAGCCCAGATTAGGTCCCCAACACTGCCTGCTTCCCCAAACACTTCTAGAGGAGCATCACTCAGTATGATCCCAAAATAGAACAACCCCCCAGGCCTTAATGATCACCAGTGCATGGGTGGGTCCCAGCTTAGCACAGGAATGTCCTGCCTGGTCAGGTTTCCCCAGGAGCAGCCCTGGGGTCCTCTGAACAAAAAGGGCCAGAAACCAGTATTCATACTGAGTCAGTCCAGTGACATGAAGGATGGAAAGGGCCACATTATTGGCTCTTGCTGGAAGTTGGGTCTGGGGCCGGGCTCAGCGGCAGAGCATGAGCCTCCATGTGCAAGGCCCTGGGTTTGACCCCCGGCACCCTGGCACAACCAGGAGAGGGGTCCCTTCAGACTAGGGGACAGGGGCTGGCTGAGGCCCGGCTGACCTGGGTATGTCCTATCCACCTTGACTCAGCAGGGGACAATCCTGTTTGTACATTGCTTGCATATTAAGTAAAAAAAATCTATTAGTTTTGTGGTCACACCCAGCATGCCTGGGGGTATCATTCCTCGATGGGCTGGTAGGACTGTGTGGTACAAGAGGTCGAACCCAGAGCTCCTGCATGCAGAGCATGTGCTCTGGCACTCAGCCCTCTCCCTGGCCCTGAAGAAGCCTTTTTTTGGGGGGGAGGGGAAGGCACCAGAGTTGGCTGTGCAAGGTACACACCTTACTCACACCTTACCTGCTGGACTATCTCTCTGGCCCTGTAAAAAAGCCTTTAAAAAAAATCTAGAGTAGTACTGAGTAGGCTAAAAGGGATAAATTTGCAGGTTCTGTGAAGTAACAGAATGGAGGAACCGAACAGTGACCCAAGGATGGTCCCGACTTTGTACCCTGGAAACAGCATCACCAGCATCTCACACACACACACACACACACACACACACACACACACACACACACACTCTCTCTCTCTCTCTCCACACACATGCACTCACACACACTCACACACTCTCCACACACACATACACACTCTCCACACACATATACACACTCTCCACACACACACACTTTCCATACACACACTCACACTTTCCATACACACACTCACACTCTCCATACTCACTCACACGTACTCTCTCTCTCTCACACACACACATACTCTCTCTCCACACACACTCTCCACCACACACATACACTTACATTCCACACACACACTCTACACACACACACACTCACACACACACTCTCTATACACACACACTCACACACATTCTCTATACACACATTCACACACAAAATACACACACACATACACACTCACACACAGACCAGACACCCACATCGGCTACAACTCAGAGTGGACTGTGGCTGGGCAGCGGGAGGGGCTATTTTCTTTTTTTTACAAATTTGACATCTTCTTTGTTGGCTTGTTAATTGTAGGGGGCAGGAACCCCTAGAGGTAATGGGGCCCATGAGGGCACAGGAGGGCGTGTGGAGGCAGAGATAGGGCTGGACTATGCACTCCCGCCCTTTGCCTCCTCTTCCAGGTGCTTCACGAACGCTTCTGAGAACTTATGGAGAAGTGAGAGAACCATGAAGGCTTTAGGACTTAGACTGTTTCGGGATTTGCTGGTTTCAATTTGGTTTGGTTTGGGGGCCATACTCTGCAGTGCTCAGAGACTGGCTCTGTGCTCAGGGTGCTTTGGGGGCCCTATATTGTGCTGGGGATCGAACCAGGGTTGGACTGAAGCAAGGCAAGTGCCTTGAGCCCTGTAGGATCTCTGGCTGGCTCCGGTTTGCTGGCTTGGTTGGAGAAGCACCTGGGTGCCAGGATCCTCCTCAGTTACGCTGTGAGAGGCTGAGTCTTCAGCAACCAAATTACTTGTCAAATCCCTGCTGCCCACCCCAGCTCCCTCCCCCTGCCTCAGTTCCTTCTCCCCTGCCCCTGCTCCTTCCCCCTGCCCTAGGTTCCTCTCCCACCCTGCTCCTCCCCCCCTCCCCCCCCATTCCCACTCCAACTCCTTCCTCCTTTAGACTGGCAGGTCAGGTGTCCTCCTCCCTCAGGCTCCAGCTCCTCCTCCAAACTCAAAATTGAGGGGTGTGGGACCCTCCTCCCTCTGACCCTGGCCTCCCTCATCAGATCTGGGGGTGTGGGTCTTACAGTGACAGTGGCCAGCAGACCCTCGGGCACATTGGCCACGATGATGCCAATGAGGAAGATGACAGCCTCCAGCCAGGTGTAGCCGAGGATGAGGGACAGGATGAAGAAGGAGACGCCCAGGAAGACGGCCACGCCAGTGATGAGCTGGATGAAGTGCTCGATCTCAATGGCGATGGGCGTCTTGCCCACCTCCAGCCCTGAGGCCAGGGTGGCAATGCGGCCCATGACTGTGCGGTCCCCAGTGGCCACCACCACGCCCCGCGCAGTGCCTGTGGGCCAGAAGGGATTGGTCTGCGGGGGGCTGGACTCAGGGAGGACCCCAGCCCTACAGCCGGCATCTCTGGCAGGGGGGGCTCGGCTCCCACGTGGGCCCCCCACGGTGCCCAGCTCACCTTCCACACAGTTGGTGGAGAAGAAGGTGATGTTGCGGGTCTCCAGGGGGTTGTCGTGCGTGCAGTCGGGAGAGCGGGTTTGCGGCTCAGACTCGCCAGTCAGTGAGGAGTTGTCCACCTGCAGGGATGAGAGAGAGAGAAAGAGAGAGAGAGAGAGAGAGAGAGAGAGAGAGAGAGAGAGAGAGATTAGAGAGCTCAGTGTACAGCTGGGCTGAGGACAGGCGGGAGGAGACTCCACTGTGGGTGAGTAATGGGGGGGGTCGGCCAAAATCTGCTGGCCTCTGGACAGAGGTTGGATTCATAAAGGTAGGGGTGCGTGCAGGGGCTCCAGAGACTGAGGGAGGAGAGACTGGGGCTGGACCCCTGGTTCTGAGGGAGGAGGGATTGGGCTGGAACCCTGAGTCTGAGAGAGGAGTGGCTGGGGGTGGACTCCTGGGAGGAAAATGGGTGATAGACCCCTATTCTTATTTTTAAGTTTTTGGGTTACTTCTGGTGATACTCAGGTTACCCTGGCTCTGAGGTCAGAAATTGTTCCTGGCAGTACTTGGGAAACCATATGGGATATCAGGGATCGAACCCAGGTTAGGCGTGTGCAAGGCAAATGCCCTCCCCGCTGTCCTATGGTTCCCGCCCTGGACCTCTTCTGTGGGGTCCGTGTTCCTGGCCCACTCCAAAGGGCAACTCTGGCCCGCCCAGCCCACCTTGCAACCATGAGCCGAGATGATGCGCAGGTCTGCGGGGACTCGGTCTCCACCCTTGATCTCCACCAGGTCCCCGACGACCACCTCCTCGGCGTTCACCTGCATCTTTTCCCCTTCCCGGATCACCAGGGCTTGCTGGGGGGGAGGATAAAGCCATGTCACCTCCCTGGTTGCTGTTCAGGGTCCCTGGAGAAGACTCTGCCCCCTGGTGCAGCCTCAGCCACCCGCCCAATCCCCCACCCCCAGCTGGAGTCCGCCCACACCTGGGGAACCATGTTCTTGAAGGACTCCATGATCTTGGAGCTCTTGGCCTCCTGGTAGTAGGAGAAGCAGCCGGTGATGATGACCACAGCGGCCAGCACAATGCCCAAGTACAGCTGTGGAGAGACACAAAGTCACGACCTTCCAGGAACCGCTCCCCACGAGCCCCCAGTCCCCAATTTGGGGGGCCTGAGGGAGAAAGCTTTGCTTTCTCCTTGACTCCCTGCTGGGCTGGGCACAGGGTGGGTCTGTGTCTCAATCTTCTTCATCTCCCTGGTCTGCGTGTTTGTCTGTCTGGCCTGTTGGAGAAGCTGGTGGGATATTTTGTTCGCTTCTGGGCCACACACAGGGGTGGGTGCTCAGGATTTACTCCTGGTGGGGCGAGGGGAACCCTGTGTGGTACCAGGGATCAAACCAGGTCTGGCTGCTTGTAAGGCAAATACCTTCCCCGCTGTCCTGTCTCCTCAGCCATGCTGGGGAATCTGGGTGTGTGCTGTCGTCTGGCTGTGTGGGTGTCTGTCAGGAGTGTCTGCGTCTGTAGGTGGAGCTGTCTGTCCGTCTGTCTCTCTCTGGCGGTCTGTGTGAGTCTGAGACTTCAGGAGTGTTCCTTTCTGAGAGCGAACCCTATGCTCCGTGCTCGTATCTCTCTGGCAAACTGGTGCATGGGAGTCTCGTGTCCCTCTGTGCTGGTGTAGGCACTGGGGTTGGCGTCGGTGTCCTTGGTGCAGGCATGCCCTTGGGCACCCGCTGAGACGGTCCCGGATCAGTGGCTGCTCCTCATGCATCTCGAAGTTCCATTCACGACCACCTGGTGGTGTCTGTCCCTGAGGCACACAGCTTTGGGATGGTGTGCCTGTCATCCTGCTGTGTGACCCTGGATAAACCCCAGAGCCTCTCTGAGCCTTAACCTGCGTGTATGTCCTCTGGTTCTCTACTGGGGGATTGTGACCAGGAGATGAGCAAGGGCGGGAGAGCAGTTTTGGGAAAGGCTGAAGGATGGGGAGAGGGAGCATATATATGTCCCCAGATGCCCAGCCCGGCACTCACGTTGTCGCCAGATGGGTCATCTTCAGTTCCTGCCTGGATGCCGTAGGCCAGGAAGCAGAGGATGGCCCCGATCCACAGCAGGATGGAGAAACCCCCGAAGAGCTGACGGCAGAACTTGACCCACTCGGGAGTGGTGGGGGGTGGGGTGAGTGCATTCGGCCCATCCCGGGCCAGGATCTCCTGAGCTTTGCTGTGGGTCAGACCCTGGGGGACACAGGACTCATATAGGAACCCTCAGAACAATCCTGCACCCACTTTCCAAGTACCCTCCCAGCCCCTCAGGGAGCCTCCTCCCTCAGACCCAAGAGTCTAGAGTCTCAGCCCCTCCTCCCTCAGACCCAGGTTTCATCCCCAGCCTCCTCCCTCAGACTCACGCACCTGCACGCAGTCTGTGTTGTACTTTCGGCACACCTCTTCCACTGACATCTTGTGCTCTGTCTGCGAACAGGAGTGTGGGGTAGGCAGGTGAGTGGGGGTGAGGGGGAGGGACAGAAGTGGGGAGCCGTGGATGGGGGGTGGGAAGTAGTTCAGGGGGGGGGCGGGGGCAGGGCTTACCATAGCCACCTCCTTCTTGAGGTCATCCATGTCCCGGCTCTTGGTGGCCTTGCCCTTCTTGGGCGAGCTCTTGTCATCTTTCTTGTCCTGCGAGGTGGCGACACGATAGCTGTCAGAGCCACCAGACTGCGGGCGAGAAGGGGTGACAGGGGGGCTCCAGCCCTCCACGCCCCACTCTCAGCCGGCCAGGGCATCTCTCCTCACAGTCTCCTGGGGCTCGTCTCTGAGCATCACTGAGTCTGGCTGGGTGCCCTTGGCCCCGAGCTCGCGCCCCTCTGTCTGTCACCTTCTTTCTGCCTCTCTCTCCACTCCCCTAAACGTCTCTCTTGCTGTCTGTTGTCTCATGATCTGTCCCTCCAGGTCTCTGGATCTGCTTTACTTGTTTTCTATTGTTTCTGGGGTCGTGTTCAGTGGGGTGGTGTCTGGGTGGGGGGGGGCATTGGTGGATGCCGGGGATGGAACTGGAGTTGGCTGCATGCCAGGCAAGCACCTTGTCCGAGGTGCTCTCGGCCCCTCTGAGCCTTTCTCTTGCTCTAATTTGCCCCTGGTCCCTCCTCTTCTCTCAGTCCCACGTCCCTGGTGCCCTGCTGTCATTCTGGCTGCTTCTCTCCCTCGTCTGTGCCCGCTGTGGGGCTGCAGGAACCTCCACGATCCTGCCTCTCCCCTGCGTCTGTCTTTATGGCACGGAGTGTCCATCTCTGTCCCTGGAACTCTCTCCCTGGGTCAGGCTGTGCTCTCAGAGCTTTGGAATGTCAAGATGGTCCATGCCAGGGTCTTTGGTCACCTTTTCCTCTGCCTGTCTCTCCTCCTGTCCATCTCCTGCTCCCAAGTGCTTTTCTTCCCCTCAATGTCTCTCTCCATTCCACCATCATCTTCCCTGCTCCCTGGCTTCCTCTGCCTCCTCCCTCTGGGTCCTGCTGTCTGTATGCCCAGGGTTCTTCCATCCCATCCCCCACCTCCATCGCTCTCCTGCGCTTTTTCCTGCGCTGAAAATGTCCCAGTCTCCATCTTTCTAGGGACTCAGCAAATCTTGGGAGACTCTCTAGGCCTGGCAGAAATGGAGGGGGAAGTTTGCTCCAGCGGGGACAAAGGCCAGGTGGCAATGGGAGATGGCCTGGCTGGACACGTCGCCAGTCCTGAGGGCTCAGACTGACCAGCCATGGGCTCTGGTGGGTGGGGGCAGCTACAGGGTTGAAGGAGTGGTGGGGGTCATGTGCACCCTCAGAGATCTGGTTGACAGTGTGGGGGGTGGCCAGGATTCAGGGCATAGAAGCCAGGCCTGGCTTGAACTGGCCGTAGTGTGAGGGAGAGAAATGAAAACTCCAGTTTCAGGGCCTGGGACGAATGGGGATGCTGGGGCGAGGCGGCCGACAGGCCCTGCTGGCCGGGGGCCAAGCTGGGATCCCAGTGCAGGCAGCTCAGCGCACGCTAATCCCCGCTTGACCTTGTGCAGGGCCCGGCTGCCTGAGCAGGCCCCCAGACCTGCAGGCTGAACCCCAGGGGTGTCGGGGGTGGGAGGGAGGCTTGGCCCCCTGCCAGTCCTGCAGCAGCACTGCGTCTGTCACAGGCACGACACAGACGACACGCCAGCCCCAGCCAAGAGGCGCCAGGGCTTCGGCAGAGCATGGACAGATGTGGAGATGGTCAAGGGCCAGGGCAGGGAATTGAGGGCGGTGACAGGGCAGAGATGGACAGTGCCTTCCAGGAACGGGAGAGAAGGAGAGACAGCCGGGGCACCTCATGGGGACTCTGGGAGGTCTGGAAAGCCGAGGCTCTGGGCTCTGTGGAGCCAGGGGCTGGGCTGGACCCTGGGGTCTGAGACAGGAAGGGCTGGGGTTGGATCCTGGGTGGGTCTGAGGGAGGAGGGGCTGGGGCTGGATCCTGGTCTGAGGGAGGAGGAGCTGGGGCTGGATCCTGGTCTGAGGGAAGAGGAGTGGGGGATGGACCCCTAGTCTAAGGAGGAGGGGTCTGAGGGAGGAAGCTGGGGTATGGACCCTGGACTGAGTGAGGGGATAGATCCTTGGGTCTGAGGGGGGAGGGGATAGACTTCTGGGTGTGAGGGAGGAGGGCTGAGCAGGGAGGGCTCAGGGATGCCCAGCCCCTCCTCTGGTGGGTGAGTGTGTCTCCCGTTTGCCCTTGCCATGCCCAGGCTCCCTTGGGGGCAGGCTTCCATCTGTCCGAGGGGCGCCGAGGCTTCCCCAGTCAAGGCAGGAGGCCCAGATGGGCACACTGCGGGCGGGAGCGCCTCCGAGGGTGGGGGACACGCCTGTCTGGCTGCGGCCGCCTCTGCAGCTCCTGCCGTGTTCCGCGCAGTCGCCCGCCCGCCCGCCCGCTCGCTCGCGCAGCTCCTCCACCCCCCTCGGGTGTCTGGGGCGGTCATCTGGGAACCGCTTCCTCTGCAGGGCATGCAGCTATGCCCATCCTTGAGGCGAAGCTCACGTCTTAGCCTCAGTTTCTCTCTTCGTCTCTGCATCCCTGTCTGTCACCGCGTCTGTCTCTGAAGTACCTGATTTCTCTCCCCAGGCGCACCCCCCCTCCTTCCTTCATTCCCTTCCCCAAAGACCCTCCTCCCCTCCCTTATCTCATTCAGCCTCCACTTTGCCCACAGCTTCCCTTTCCACCATCCCACTTACCTGGAGGCGGTCGCTGCCTCCCCACTTCCTTGCCCCTCCGCCCTCCCTGGCAGCAGCTCCATCCCCCCATCCCAGACCCATCAGCCCTCATCCGCCATCTTACCCCCCTCCCCGCCTCCCCCCTCCCACCCATCCCGAGGTTCTCTCTCCAGCCCACCCGCCTCCTTCCTCCTCTCGCCCACCCCGAGGCCCTGCCCCAGACGGGAGGGAGGATCCGGGGCTGCAGCTGGGGGTCAGGTGGTCAGTCGGGGAAGGAGGCGGCATCTGCTGGAGAGACTCACAGACAGACAAGGACACACGGACGCAGAGGCAAGGGCAACGCGAGGCATGCACACCCGCGACCACGACAGCCCCAGACTGGTACGGGGAGCCCCTCCTGCGCTGCCCAGCGCCCCCGGCCCTGTCTGTCCCCCAGGTTAGGGGCTGGCTGCACAGGGCCGCCCCGAGCGGCGCCGCACTGCGGAGCGCCCCCCTCCAGGTCTGGAAGGAGACCGAGAGGTCATCTGGCGTGGGCCCCCAAGCCTGGACTTGTCCCCACCTGGTCAGGGACGCCGCCGAGGGGGCTTGCGCACCGCAGATCCCCCCTTGCACACACACACATACACACACACACACAGACACACCCAGACGCGGGCTGCAGACAGACACCAGCGGGGTCCCACGAAGGCAAGCGGCGGGCAGGGGCTGGCGCGCGCACACACGCACACGAGCGAGCATGCCACGCACAAGGCCGGCCGGGGTGCCCGCGCGCATCCCGCACCACAAAGACCCGCCAGCCCGCACCGCACACCCGCGCCGCCCCCCGCACGCATGCAGATGGCCCGGCCGGATGGGCCGCACGCGGGGTCCCCGCGCGCCCCCCCACCCCGCAGCCCGGCCTCCCGCATCCACCCAATGTCACCGGAGCGTCCGTGTCGTGCACGCCCCGGCCGACCAGGGCACCTACCCCCATCTTGGCGGCTGCGGGGGCGAGAGGCGCGCGGGCAGGCGGCGCGGGGCCGGGGCAGGGGCCTCAGGCGGGCTCGGTCCGCGCGTCTGTCCGGCCGTCAGCCTGGCCGTGCGGAGTCTGCGGCGCCGCCGCCACCGCCTCCTCATATGCCCGCGCTCGCGGGGGGGCCGCGGCGGCCAATCAGCGGCGCCGCCGCGCTGATGGACGGCCCCGGCCCCGCCCCTGGTACTGCAGCTGTCCTCCCCGCCCCCGCCCCTGCCCCTCCGCAAAGTGCCTGCTGGAAAGGGAAGCGCTGCGGGAGGGGGGGATCCCCGAGACCCCCGCAAGGTGAGGGAGGGTGGCGCCGCCGACGAGCAGGGCGTGGAAAGAGAAGCTCGGCATCCCTTCATTGTAGGGTCGGACCAGAAAAGGGGGGGGCCACTGGGGAGTTTGGCCAGGGTGGGGGAGGGGAGCAGAGGCCCACTGCAATGAGTTCGGGGGCCCAGAGGGTCTCTCCTCAGTGAGGCGGGGGACCTGGAGATTCTACCTGGGAGGCTGCTCTGGCGAGGCAGCTGGAGGGAGCACCGGAGATAAGTAGGATCTCATAGGAAGAGGGGTGCCGCAGAGAACAGCCTAGAGGACCCTAACGTGTGTTCCCCGTTATTTCAGGACTACCCAATGAGAAACAACTGTACAGATACAGGAGACACCTGTATACCTCAAACTTGCTGAAGGACCATTACTCAGACAACCCAGTGCTGGCATGTGTGTGTGACACACCCCCAATCCCAAACCCTCCCACCACATTTTCACCATCACATTCCATCACAAGCTGCCTGTACTTTCACACACACGACTTCAGTTCTACCCCACAACCTTGGAGACACACACACACACGCACACACACACACACCTAGAAACACAGTGAACACCTCTCACACACCCCTAGACATAACACAATCACAGTCAGGAGGTGCTTACTATAAGCTTCACCCCCTCCGATGTATCTTCTCACACACTCACAGGGATGACCCCCCCCCCCACATGAGCCCAGGAGCCAATAGCCCAGAGCACCTATGCGGGCCTCATAGGAACATTGTGGCCGCAGTTGTTCAGTCACACGACATCACATACACGATCTCTGCAGATCTGAGTGTGAGCAAAGGCCCATGGGGCAAAATTGCCAAATGGCTGCCCATCGTGAATGAGAGACAAAAAGGTGCACGCGTGTGGCTCAGTAATTCACAGACATCAATGTACGGCACTGCCCCACAAACTGCTCCCACCAGGCACATCAAGAACCCTATCATGTACAACTTTGTTGCACCTCCAAGCACACGCCAACGCCCTCCCCACCCCCTCTGTGTGTATGTGTACAGAGAAGCACAGCTGACACCCACCCACAGCCTGGCCTGTCACACACACACAGCACCCATCAGTTACCCCTGGGGCCTGAGGAGTCACAGCTCCCTCCCCCACGCCCCTTTGCTCTGAGTGAAACACCCCCAGGTGCTTGCTGGGCATGGTAGAAGAGGTAGAGCGAGTGAGAGCCTGGTAACTTTGGCTGTCTCCCAATGTGGGTGTCTTTCCCTCCTATGGGGGTGACAGGGTTGGGGGAACATGGCAAGGTGAGCCTGGGGCAAGGTTAAGGACCTGCCGCGGGGAAGGACGTGAAGGTTGAAGGCCAGACTGAGAACTGAGAAATGACGGAGAAAAATCCTTAGAGGGGGGTGGGAGGTGGTGAGGCCAGAGAAAAGAAGGTGGAAAGCGAGAAGTTTTCTCAGCTCTACCCAGCACCCAGAGCTTCCCCCAATCCTATACCCTGACCCATCCCCATCCCCCCTGCTGTCCCTTGTTGCCATGGGAACAGGGAGACTGAATATGCTGCAAAGGAGGCTGGGCCCGCAGACCTGGCCTGTCTCCATGGAGACGGGGAAGGAACCTCATCTTTTAACCCAGGTAGTTGCCCCCCTAGCCCCTCTCCCCAATCCCACCTGCCTCCCCAGGGAGGAGGACCTGTGCCAGTATCATCCTTTTGCTTTTCACACACCTCACCCTTCAGGGATGGACCTGGATCGCAGTGAAGGGAATTAGGGGGGATGGAGAATCCGGGTGGGTGGGGGTTGGATACACCAGATCACAGATCTCAAGATCTCTCCTCCTGCTCTCATCTAGGCTGGGGGCAATCTTGCCAAGCCCACCCTGCTGGCCACCCCAGGTTCAGGCTCCTGTCCCCTCCTGCACTGGCTCCTCAGACCCAGCCTGGAGAGGCTGATGACAGTGCATCGTGCTCTGAGCGCGAGGCGCTGCGGAAGCTGCAGCAGGAGGGGGGGTGGGGTGGGGAACTTGGGAAGGTCACAGGAATGGCTGGGGACAGGAAAGCTGAGCCTGGGAGACAGGAGAGGGACGAGAGGAGAGACGGACAGAATCCAGAACCAGAGAGGGCAGAGGTGGAGAGAGAAGCAGACGGGGAGAGACAGACAGACCTGCAAAGACAGAGCCAGGAGACAGAGCCCCAGAGGAAATCGGTGAAGGTGACAGAGGGACACAGAACCCCAGGCAAAGAGGCATGTCAGACACAGAGTGGGGAGAGGCATCACGCAGGAATGGAGGAGGGGGGGACTCAGAAATGGGAAGATTCCCCCCACCTGAGAGGGCCACCTGCCTGGTCGTACTGGGTAGACAGCAGAAATGTCAGCAGACATGGTCTAATCACTGGACAAACTGAAAGTCTGGCCCAAGGGCAGAGGCGTGGGCTGGTTTGTACATGAGTGAGGTGGAGACCAGGGGTGCGGGTCCACCAGGCGCGAGGTCCGTTGCGATCTGGGAAGGCCTGCAGGGTGCAGGGGGCGGAGACGGACCAAGGGCAGGGCCCAGTGGGCCTGGTGCTGAAATGGACAGCTCCCCGACCGCCAGCTCAGCCCCGCTGTGGCCAGACCCCTCTCGGCTCTCCACCTGGTGTCTGCGGCTCTCTGCTCTCCGACGCACCTCGTTCTACCGCTCTCAGCTCGGACTCCCCTGATTTCTTACTGCTCCCTGTCTCTGCCTCATTCCTTCCCCACTTCTCCATTCCACCTCGACCTTCTCCCACTTCGCCGCCTCCCTCGTCTCCCCACCTTCCCTTTCTGGCTCTCCCACCCCCGCCCCATCTCTCTCTCTTTTTCTCTCTCCCCTCCTTCTACTCGGCCTCCTTTTGGATCTGACTGTGTGACCTTCACTCGTCCTTTCTCAGCTGCGGTTTCCACAGAAACCTCCAGCGGGGCGGGGGAGGGCGGACGGGAGAGCTGACCCATCACTGCCTGCGCCCCCGGGGGCTTCTCACTTCCTCTCCCAGGGGGCTGGGGAGGCCCCAGCAGACACACTGGGATACAGTCCCAGCCAAAGATGGCCTCACCGGCACGCGCGCGCACACACACATATGCACGGTGGCGCGCGCGCGCTCACACACACACACACACACGCCCGCCCGCAGGCCCGCGCACACACACATGCCCGCTGGCGCGCGCACACACACACATGCCCGCAGGCGCGCGTACACACACACGCCCGCAGGCGCGCGCACACACACACACACACGCACGCACGCAGGCGCGCACACACATACGTGCACGCAGGCGCTGACACATACACACGCACTCACACACACTTGCACACGCATACACGCGCGCGCGCCTCTCCCCGCGGCCGCCCCTCCCCCCTCCCCCCCCCCCCCCCGCCAGGCCCATCTGGTTTGTCTTTCTGTGTCTCCTTCCCCGTGTCCCCGCCTCTCCAGATCCCGCATCTCTCTCCATCTGTCTCAGGGTCTCTGTCGCAGCCTCCTTCCGTCCTGAGAGAAGGTCAGTGCAGTGGGGCCAGTAGCTGGGGCCTTAACTGGCCCTGTGGCGGTGGGGACTGCGCCCAAGTGATGGCCACTCTTCGTGGTTCCACTTCTCCCCTCTCCCCAGGCCCCAAGCACATAACGTTTTCACTCTCCCAGGAAATGACACCCGGGTATCCCCCCACCGCTTTGGGGTTTTGTTCTTTTTTTTTTTTTATTCCAACAGGGACAGGAGGTGTGGCAGAGGGGGAGGGATGGGGGCCCAACTGACCCCCTCCCTGGAGGGGTCTCATAGAAATTCCGAGGTCTCTCCCCAAAAAAAAGAGAGAAAGAAGAGTCGAGAGGCGGCGCCAGGGGACACGCATCTGCCCGTGGGCCCTCCCCTCCTCCAGAAGTGGGGAGGGCTGCGTCAAGTCCGGAGCGGGGGGTGCTGGCCATTCCCAGGAAGGAGCTCTCCGCGCCGACCCGCTTTCCGCTTCCGGTCACGGCGCCCCTGAGTCCTCGGCTCCTCGGGTCCGCAGTGGTGGGGGGCGCAGCGCGGGCGTCCGCGGCACCCTCCGTCGAGTCCACTAGGGGGCGCGGCCGGGCTCGGACTTGGAACGGGAACCGCCGGTCCCCCCGCGGGCGGCCGGCGCGCGGGGCTCCCCAGTCCTGCGGTCCGTCCGGGGTCACTCGTGCTCGGCCAGCTCGCGGGGCACGGCGGGGACGGGCCGCGGCCGGGGCGGGCTGGTGGCCTCGCTGGGGGCGCCGAGGCCGCGCGGGGCCGCGCCGCCCCCCGAGGCCCGCAGCGCCTGGATGCGCCTGCACTCCTGGCACACGCGCACGTGCGTGCAGGGCGTGGGCACGAGCGGCCGGGCCCCGCCGGGCGGCCCCGGGTCGTCCAGGAGGCGCTGGGGGCCCCCGTGCGCGCCGCCCGCGTCGCCGCCCGCGCCCGCCGAGTACAGTTTGCCGTTGCTCAGGCGCATTTCGCGGACGGCGCGCAGCGACAGCAGCGCCCGGCTCGGGCCCGGGCGCCGGCGCCGGCGGGAGCGCGACGTCTTGCGGCAGGACACGGCGTGCCGCAGCTCCTGCAGCATCTCCTGGCACACCGACACCTGCGGGGCGGGCGTGCGGCGCGGTCACCAGCGCCCTCATGGCCTCTTCCCTCCCCACTCCTTTCACTTCCTCCCCAGCCCTTCCCGTTTCCCCTCTTCTCCCCGTGGCGGCCTCACCTCCCCGGCTCACCTCCTCTCTCCTGGTCTGGCTTTGTCCCTGAACCTGCCCTTCGCCTCCTCTCTGCACCACTCTTTCCACTGGGCTGTTTTCTGGTGCTTCCTTACCCCCCAGCCCAACCCTTCCCTCCTACTTGATTCTG